TATTGAGGAGGACACCTTTTGGGATGAGCACTGGGTGTTGTATGGAAACCAATTTGACAATAAATTTCATATATTGAAAAAAAAGGTACAATGTATAGCTTTCAAACTGTAATTGTAGAAAACAAAACAAAAAAATCTTCTTTTCAGCTAATTGTTTATTTTTTAATTTAAATTTGTATTTTTAAATTCAGGTAGAATTAACATACGGAGTTACTTTAGTGTCAAGTGTCCAGTATAATGATTCAACAATTCTGTCCATTACTCAGTGTTCATCAGGGTGTGTTCTTAATCCCTTCACCACCTCCCTTTCAGCAACCACCAGTTTGTCTCTGTATTTAGGAGTCTGGGGTTTTCTTGTTTCTCTCCTTTTTATCTTTGCTTGTTTGGAAAACATGTAAATCTTCATCTAACAAAAAGAAGGCTGGACAGTCAAAAGTAAGCTATGAGAGGGGGCGCCTGGGTGGCGCAGTCGGTTAAGCTTCCGACTTCAGCCAGGTCACGATCTCGCGGTCCATGAGTTCGAGCCCCGCGTCAGGCTCTGGGCTGATGGCTCAGAGCCTGGAGCCTGTTTCCGATTCTGTGTCTCCCTCTCTCTCTGCCCCTCCCCCGTTCATGCTCTGTCTCTCTCTGTCCCAAAAATAAATAAACGTTGAAAAAAAAAAGTAATCTATGAGAGGCAGGGTATCTTAATACATAATAAACCAGTCCTTCAGTAAAGTGGCAGTGATAATTCAAAAGTGTTAACATATTACCACACATCCACAGATTAACTCATCTCCTCAAGGATTAGATCAAATCACCATCTCCATAAGAAGACTCAAATGTACTCACAATAAATCTCATCTAAAACAAAATCATTAAACATGTTCTAAATCAATAAAGTGTGTCGGTCTGTGGTGTTATTATTATTATTTAGTGAAATTAGCTGCTAGCTATAACCAAAATTGAATATAAAACAAAAATGCTTTTATAAAGAAGTTTTTTTTTTCTGTTTAAATAATTCGTTCACATATAAGATGCAGCACTTATGAACTACAATTGATCTAATCACATCTCCTTGAACTATGTAAGGCATAAATCAATACATAATTGGAAACTTAATGCAACATTTGTAAGATCGAATCTGTGGATGCAAAGGAAATTTATTTATGAATAGACAGTACATGGGTGCCTGGGTGGCTCAGTGGTTTAAGCATCTAACTGTTGATTTTGGTTCAGGTCATGATCTCATGTGTTTGAGGCCCACATGGGGCTCTGTGCTGACAGTGTGGGGTCTCCTTGGGATTCTCTCTCTCCTCTCTCTCTCTGCTCCTTCCATGTTCAGGCTTTCTGTCTCTCTCAAAGTAAATAAATAAACATTTTTTTGACGTTTATTTATTTTTGAGAGACAGAGAAGAAAGAGCATGAGCAGGGGAGGGTAGAGAGGGAGACACAGAATCTGAAGCAGGTTCCAGGCTCTGAGTTGTCAGCACAGCTCAAACCTGTCAGCTCAAACCCAAGAACTGTGAGATCATGACCCGAGCTGAAGTTGAAGGCTTAACTGACTGAGCCACCCAGGCGCCCCAATAAATAAACATTTTTTAAAAAAAGGAGAAATCATACATGCTCAGAGTGATGTCACAGAAATGGTGACGTGGAGACCACAGACTCTGTCCCCCTGCAAAGATCAACAACTGGACAGCTACCCATGAACATAAACAGCGCTGGGAGAGTTCTGGAGTCTACTTGAGAAATGTCAGTCAGTAATACTTTGGATGTTGCTAATCACCAAAGAAATGCAAATCAAACCTGCCATGAGATATCACCTCACACCAGTATGGCCATTATCAAAGAGAGAAGAGACAACAATGCTGGTGAAGATGTAGAGAAAAGAAGATCCCGTACACTGTTGGTGAGACTATACCTTGGTGGAGCCAAGTATGGAAAGCAATATGGAGTTTTCCAAAAAAATTAAAAATGGAACTTCTAGATATTCTGTTAATCTCACTTTTGGGTATGTATCCAAAGGAAATGAAAACAGGATCTTGAAGAGGTGTCTACACTCCCACGAACATATAGCCGAGACCTGGAAACAACAATATCCGTTAATGCCCATCAATGGATGAATGGATAAAAATATGTGGTACATTATCTATCTATCTACCTACCTATCTATCTATCCATCTATCCATCTATCCATCTATCTATCTATCTATCTATCTATCTATCTTATTCAGTCACGAGAAAGAAAGAATTCCTGCCATGTGCAGGAACAAGGGTGGACCTTGAGGGCATTATACTAAGTGAAACAGATCAGACAGAGAAAGACAAATAAATAATGTATGATTTCACTTATGTGTGGAATTTTAAAAAGTTAAGCTCCTAGAAGCAGAAACAAAGAAGAGTAAAGTGGTGTTTAGCAGGGGCAGTGTGGCTGGGGGAAATGGGGAGATGATGGTCAAAGGGTACAAGGCTCCGGTTATAAGATGAATGAATTCTGGAGATGTAATGCAGAGCATAGTGATTATAGGGAATAATACTGTATTAAATCCTTGTAAGCTGCTTAGAGAATAGATCTTCAATATTCTCACCACAAATAAAGAGATGGTAATTATGTGATGTGAGGGAGGAGTTTGCTAAAGCCATGGTGGAGTCAATCAACACTTGTACACCTTACATTCTCACAACGTTTATTATCTGTGCTTTCACTGCACTGCACCTCCTTTCCCTTTCAGTCATCCTGTGACTTGAAGCTGAAGTGAGTCTTCCGTAGGCAGCCTATAGTTGGATGTTATTTCTTTCTGTCCCTCAGTCATGCTGTCTTTTGATAATCCATTTACGTTGGAAGTGGTTGCTGATATGTGAAGACTTACTACTGCCATTTAATTAGTTGTTCTGGTTGTTGTTTTGTAGCTTCTTTCATCCTTTCTTACTCACATGAGGGGATAACAGGATCAGAAAGAACAGATTCACAGAATGTCATATATGAGGAATTTTGATGTAGAAATTCCACAGGAACGGGGAGCTACTTTTTCATCATGAACTTTCTCAAAATCCCCTCACTGGGGGCCAAGAGGAGGCCAGGCATGCTAGTTACAGTTCAATCTTGGACCAAGACCCATAGGATGCCCACACTACCGTCGAATGGGAAGTGGTTGGATCCTATCTCTGAAGTAACACTCATGTCCGTATTGATGACCTCCATCTCAGTTAAAAATTGTAGGGCAGAGGCCCTGTGACCTTTCAAACCAGACGTGAGTCTCACAAGACCCCAATTCTGCCTGCTCCCCACCAAGCCCAAGTCCAGACAGTGAATTTGGTACTGGAGCACGACGTGGGGGAGGGAGAACCGGGCCCGGGAGTCGGTCCAATTTCAGTTCTAGTTCTGCCTGTGCCTCTTGTAGAGGCTGTGTGATCTGGGTGAGACACTTTCCTTTCCTGAGTTCTGTAA